TGTGTATAATGCGTACTTGGGAGCTGATATTAAAATGTTTAAGTTGCACGTAGACGAGGAACATCCCCTTAAAATTTCAACTCCCCCTTCCTCAGCTTTTCCGGTTCCTGAGTTAACAGTTTTCCCGCCAAAACTTTCACGTGCTCGCACGCTAGGCTCAGACGTGAGTTGCTACTGCAGTCCTGAAGTGGCGCCTGACCGTGAAGCCCACTGGCAAAAAAGAATTTCGGCGACGAAGCTTGCTTGGTTGCCGAGTTGAAAATCTGGACAGACACATGCACACATGCACACACACACACACACACACACACACACACACACACACACGCATACATACACGCACATGTGCAGCACGGGTAGTCAAAATATGCGTTTTTATGCGTTTCGTACTGCTGTTACACAGCACAAAACGCTTATTGTCACGGGGTTCTCTGTGTGTGTGTTCGCAGCAATTTGTCCGCAACTCTCAACTTGGGAATCACAAAAGCTAGGAAGCTGAAAATTTAGGGCAGTGCTCCTCACCCACGTGTGACCCCGCAAATTTAAATTCAGCCTCCCCGTACCTGCGGGTAACAAGCACGACCCCGCAAAAATTTTGGCGGGGAAAATTATTATTCCAGGAACCACAGAAGCTGGAAAGCTGAAATTTTATGGATATGTCCGCTGTCCATGTGCGATGCAGAAAATTTAAATTAGGCCTTCCCGTACCCGCGGGTTTACGGGGAACATTATTATCTCGGGAACCACGGAAGCTAGGAAGCTGAAATTTTAGCGTGGCATCCCCTGCTCACGTGCAACTTCGCAAATTTTTAAAGTCCCCGTGGAAGTTTCGGTAAAAAAATCATTATCTCGGGAACCAGAAGTGCTAGGAGACCGAAAATTTCGGGAAAATGTTCCCTGCCTAAGCACAGACTTCACAAACTCGAATTTAGTTCCTAAGCATGCCGAGGTCTCACGTACGACCACGAAAAAGTTTTGTCTCAAATATCATCCGAAAGCCAAAAAATTAGGGGATTGAAATTTTGGAA